AAGTCCTAGAACGACTGTCAAGACTGCCTTCGGAGAGTGTCAGCGAGTTGGGAAGCATTGCGTCCTGGTCAGGCCGACATAAATCCTGAGAAAGCCTTCGGATGTCAAGCAGCTGTTTAGAGTTGCTGCTGATGGCTGCGGTTTTGAGGAACGAACATTGGGTATGCGAGCACTTGCCAGAGACTCGTAACTGAAGGTACCTGCCAGGCACTCGATTAGCTCCGAGATCTGCAAATGTGCCGCAGGTGACCTGCTAGCAAGAGCGGGTTTGTCCAGTGGGACAGCACAGCTCAGGGTTGAAACTGACGTCGCTACAGCACTCACAGAAGCCAATTTTCTCCAAAAACCAACAGGGCCCGATGCAGGTTTGATCAGCTGGTGAGTGGCTGTGCCAGTCGAGTTGGGAGGCTGTGCCATACACCTAGTTATAAAACTCGTGCTCCGAACGCGAAGCAGCAACCAGTTCCTCAGGGAAGGTAGCCATAGTTGTTGTCGTGGTGGGCCCAGTGAACCTCATCATCCCTCCTGACAGCATCAGCATAGCCATAGAGACTAAGAGGGTTAATTATCTTCTGCACCACAATGTTGTGGGATGTTCGATGGGGATGATATCTTTCTTTGTACAGTGTAGTTCTTGCTGGGACCGAGTGCAGCAACCTGATCTCCTCCGTTGCGAGATACCGCCGTGGCACTGCGAAGGCTTGCACCATAACTGGTGTGTTGAGTAACATTGCCAATCTGGCGGTGCGCCAGCTGTTGACGTGGGGCTTGTACTGGGAGTGCAGCGCTGTACCATGATCTGCTGACTGACGCCATTGTGATTGCCAGCAGGAGGTCAGGATGCAAGATCCCGAGCCTAACGTGGACTCCTTGGCGGTCATAGTCCACATCGCAGTCGCGCTGATCAAAGATGGCAACGCCGTCGAAGACACGGCTGTGTGCCCAGAGGTCAGCTGCCGCACGGATTTGGTCCCTAAGCAAATAGATGGGACGCATGGTGCTGTATGGCACCTGAGTGGTCGGATCTATCGCCATTAGCTCCCGGTCCAGTCCTTCTGCCGAGTAGAAGTCGACCAGGACAGCCCCCGGGACGATGTAGGAGAGGAGAGAGCACGGCATGACTCAACGCAGAGCACGGGAGCATTTGGGCACTAACGGATTCAGCCAGCCCAGAGAGACTCAGAGAGACTGCAAGAGCTTGTCACATGAGCGAGGTTGACAGGCTCGGGCTTTCGTGTCCTCTTTTTGAATCCCTATTTGGGCATGTACTCCAAGATGATCCCTTTTTCTAGAGGACGTCGAAGATGTCATACAGATGGACATGCCAGGCGTTGAAGTCCGAAGGGCGACACGCTGCCACGCCATCCAGGGGCGAAGACAGGAGCTCCACCGGCAAGCGGAAGGCCATGGAGCAAGGAAGGTTGAAGGAGTCCGTACCTTCATGCACCGATACTGAGCCCGATTTCCGCAAACGTGACATGGCCACCAGCAACTCGACCGTATTGATGCGGGCTTGTCCTGAGATCGCGCTTGATGCGGGCTTGTCCTGAGATCGCGCTAGCCATGAAAGCGTGCCAGGCAGTATTGACAGCTCTCGGCTCTCAAGCTGTACTGTGAGGAGGCCAACGTGTCCATTCCTCCGGCTGCAGGCTCTGCCTGCACCTCAATGGCAACGCTTTGAGCAGTACATCGACTCCATGTCCACAATGGCTGCAGCTGAAGAGGGTCTGCTGCTCCCCCAGGCGACCACGGCAGAGCGCATGGCCCGCGATTGTCTGGACTCTCACTGCTTGTCCATGTGGTCTTCTGTTCGGCAAGTTCTACAACACCTTCCTTTTGAAGATCACGACCGATGGGAGAGAACTGCACCGGTGGCTGCCAACCAGACCCCAGGCCGGCGTCAGAATTGGAGCCTTTAACCGGGTTCTGCGTCTTTTTCAACTCTGCGTGAGCCTCTGCCATTCCCGGAGGCAGTTGGCCCGGCTGCATGCCGGGCTCGGCAGCGAGCCTGTCCAAATCGGTCATCAGGAAGAAGTCGAGGTGCATCGGTCAAGAAAAGATGGATGCGCTGGACAATCTCATCCTCCATGACAGCAGATTCCGAGCCTAGAAAGCAGCTGCCGCACAGACAAGTCCGTTGTGTCAGACAGATGCAGTGCAGACAGTTGAATAGCGATGATGATTGCTGGTGCAGCGTGTCAGAGACTGTATCTCAGTGGAGGGAGGCTGTGCGATAACCTAGATCCTCATCTTCCAGGTTCCGGATCGGGAGCCTGAAACCCAACTCCCTCGCTGTTGCAGCGTAGCGGGAAGCGAGTCGTTCCTTTCACGGTAAAAGCCGCCAAGACGACTCTGTTAAAGGTCGACCAGGGGAGAGTGGCGTGCCAGAGTGTGTCTGCCCGAAAGCGATGCTAAGACCTCGAAGGTCGAAGCGGCTGCCTCTGACCATCCCGTTGACGTCGGAGCCCTCGGGATCCTCAATCCAAATGCCACCATCGTCGGACAGAGACAGGGGGATGAGAAGAGTTCCGGTCGCTGCATTGCGAGCGTCACGATGGGGAGGAGATAGAACGTCTACCAAGATCTCGATGGAGGTCCATTGGTGATCAGGATAACACATGTGCACAAAAGTGTTGAACAGTTGGGTGACATTCGGGTGGGAAACGGTATCCTTCAGAAGTCCTGGAGACGAGGTAATCCATGTAGTCCGCGAAGATCGCCAGCGGGAAAGGGACGGTGGAGATGGCACCATCTGCACGCTATTAGTTGAGCCAAGCTCGAAAAGGCGGTTGCAGCTGCACGCGACCCAGAGTGGCTGCAAGCTATTTCGGTTCTCCGCACTATTATCAAGGATGCCACGAAGAACGGAACAGGCATAGTCGTATTAACTCATGTAGATGCACGGAGTATGCAAGAGAAGAGTTCAAAAGCTTGGCTGAATTCCTAAGAAGCAAAGGATTGAAGACCAAGGTTGAAGGACCAGTGGAAGAAGAAGGCTCAATGAGTTCCTGAAAAGAAGTTTCAAGTCAAGCAATGAAGGTGACGTTGAGATCACGATGAACACAAAGTACGTCGGAAGATTGCTGGAAGTGTTGGAACTTCAAGAAGCTTATCCGCAAAAGTTGCCATGTCCAGCAGACAACAGAAGAAGTTTTCAAGCAAAGAAAGGAGGGATGGATCCGCTAAGTGCGGAAGAACATCACATCTTCAGGAAAGGCGTTCGGATACTGTTGTATCTGGCACCAGAGAGACCAGATATAATGTATGTGCTGAAAAAGCTTTCGACGAAGCTAGCAACGCCAGTACAGGCAGATTTGGAGATGTTAAGGTACACAGCGAAGTATCGGAAGTCCTGACCTACACTTGTTCACACAAGAAGTTATTCTGGAAGAAGGTTCAATGAAGTCAGGAACAGAAGCACAGAAAGATGTGCGAGAAACGTGTACAAAGAGCAAAGCCTGATAGAAGTGATAATGGATTCAGATTGGGCAGCAGATCGAGAGACAGGGCAAAGTGTATCATGTGGAGCGATTATGCGGAGTGGAAATTTCATTCACTTTCAAAGCAAGAGACACAAGAGCATTGCGCTAAGTTCATGGGAAGCAGAGACAATAGCAGCAACGTCGATGTTGTCAGAAGCAGTGTTCCTGAAAGGATTTGAAAGGATTGTTGGAAAGAATTCTGGGTGTTGAGCCAAGGCTAGTATTATATTCAGATTCGTCAAGCTCAAGGCAGCTTCTCTCAACCTATTTAGATGGAGACCGTTTATGGACCCAAAGAATCCCACACTTATCAAGGCGATTAAGGGTAGGGACAATCCCTCAGACCTCGGTACAAAATCGCTGGCATGTGACGAAATCAAGAAATACATGGTTACCTTAGGTTACGTCGGTGATTATCTTGATCAAGGTTCTCAAGAAGTTCAAGAAGATCAAATGAGAAGAACAAGCGGAGGAAGCAAGATGAGTTTCGATGAAGGTATGGTCACAAGGATCATCAAGGCAGTTGCGACTGCAGTGCTGATAAGTTTGTCTGAAGCAAGCAAAGAAGGTTGCGGACAAGGAGTACAAGAAGGACCGAAGAGCAGTGCAAGCATGTTGTTGTGCATGTTGATTATGTGTACACTATGCACGTCCGCGGCCATTTTCAGATCAAGCTTCCAGAAGGAAGCTGTGAGGAACAAGAGGAAAGAAGGAGAAAGAAAAAGGAAGAAAGGAAAGAACAAAGGAAAAATGGCGGATGACAATGCCGTCAAGGTGATAATTTCGGATAAGGCTCGGTCAGTGCAAGCAATTGCAGATTTGGAAGTTGAGTTGAACAAGCCGAAAGATCAAAGAGCCACGGCTGATGAAATGTGGGCACGTACCACAGAACTAAGCGAAACATGCGAAGATAAACCAGATGGCTCGACGCCTGACCAGATGCCGAAGATGAAGGGAGGTCCCTCAGAAGCAGCGAGCGACCCGGAAAGCTCGGATGACGATGATGAAGAAGAAAGTGATGAAGGAAAGGAAAAAGCTTCGAGCTCAACGAAAGAAGAGAAGAAATAATAAAAAAAAGAAGCAACCCCTGCTGTCGTGCCTGAAGAGTTCAAGCAGACGGCAGATGAGCTTGAAGATGCTCACAAGAAGATTATGGAAGAAAAGCAAGGGAGTTAGCTGAAAAGAAGATGGCGGCGAGTGAGCGACGCCAGGAAGTGTTGAAGAAGGCTGAAGAGATGAGAACAGATGTCAGATGAAGAAGAGAAAACGGAGGAAACGGTTACGGCAGACCCGAGAAAGCCGGAAGAAAGCTCAAAAGCTACAGAGGGCGCCGAAAAGCCAACAGAAAGCCCAAAAGCGGCAGAGGACACCGAAAAGCCGACAGAAAGCCCAAAAGCGACAGAGACGGGCGGAAAAGGATGGCAAGTACCTCTATCCAGATGAGGAGGGAGGGCCTTTGGACGACAGTCATTTCAGACGTCGATATGACGTTTAGCAGGGCAACGTGAAAGTTTGGAGATGTCGCAAAAGGCGACGGCAGCGCTCAAAGAATTGCTGTCAAACGGCATAGATGCAATGCAGACAGTTGCGGAGCATATTCCGGATTATGCATGGTTGTTTGAAGAAGAAGCATCCGGAAAGCGGTTGGTTGTTGCCAGTTTTCTGAAGTGTGCAAGAGAGCGTGCGGCGGCCAGTGATGCTGAGACTGTCAAGTCGGAACGGAAAGAAGCTGCGCCAAAGCCGCAACCGAAAAAGATGCCAGCGCAAGTCAAGGAGGATTTGCCGAGAAAACTTGAAGAAGAGAAAGTGAAAGCTGAAAAGAAGGTTTCTGGCAAAGAGCGACCAAGTGAACCCAGCGGTGAGCCCAAGCGAAAAGGAACAAAGACGAAGAAGAGTGAGACCTCTAGCTAAGGTCAATGAAAAGTGGCTCAAGAAGGATTACTCCAAGGACTACCCGGAGTACAATCAAAGCTGGGGAAAAGAAACGCAGCGCTTTTGGTGCAAAAGGCCTGGACACAAGGCGCAGGACTGCCGTGAGATGAAGGCAGAGGCTAAGGCCACCGGGGCGTTTGTTCCCGAAACGTTAAGAAGCCCAAAGCATGTATGGTGCAAGTTTTGCTTTAGGTTGCAAACTGAAGTGCAAGGAATAAAAGAGTCCTCGTACAGCACCGCAATGCCCGGCTGGGGCAGTCACAGCCCGGACATACACCGGCACCGCACAAACATCGAAGCATGGGACGCAGCTGAGCAGAAACGTATTGATAAAAAAGGCGAAGATGAAAGAAAGCGCAAGCCGTTTTCCCTCTGGGGAAAAGAGGAACTCAAGAAGAAACCAAAGGAAGTCATCAAGGTTGATGAAGATAAGAAGAATTTGGGGGCTGGAAGCTCCTAGGACCACAAGCGCGAAGGAGAAAAGCCAAAGGAAAAAAGAAGAAAGATTACAAGAAGAAGGATGACAAGAAGAAGGAAAAGAAAAAGGCGTCGGAAAGCCTTGAAAGGAACCAGCGAAAGAAGAATAGGGACAATGATCCAATCGACATGGATTAAGGTCCTAAAGGATCAAAGGCATGGAGCCCGCGCCATGTAAAATCCATCGTGGATCAATGAGGCCGAAGTGTAAAGCTTAGCCAGTAGAAAGACAGCGCATCCAGCAGTATAAGCAGCGGATAGTTTCACCGAGTGATCGCACGGGGAAAAATCCAGAGCAACCGTGTGAAAGGAAAGACTGGCCAGACCAGTCCACGACATGTACTACGAGCACTACGAAAAGTCTGTTAATGACTAAAGCAAGTGCGTTTTGACGCAAAGAAGGACGCAGAAGTCCGGAAGAGGAGTGAGTTTCGCCAGCTGAAGGCAGCCGGACCACATCGCGAACCGCGAGTTCCGGAAAAAGTGAGCGAATGCAGACTTAGTCCGGAAGCAGTTTGGAGTCTTAGCTGTTTTGTTTTTCAGGACGTCCACGAAGCGAAGAAAGGAGCAAGGAAGGTGAAGAAGAAGCTCATAAGGAGCATGCGATGAAGGTGAAAGCTCAAAGGAGCATGGGAGAAATGAAGTGGATGGTAGAAAATGTTTAAAAGAACCGATGTCAAGTCTAAGCGCGACCAGAGTCGGTGAGGACGTAACAAAGAGTTCATTTTCATATGTATGCCCTTTTGTAGCGTTTCACTGTGCAATCTCCGTAGGTCTTACCACGGCTCAAGACAGTAAGTCCAGCGGGAGATAATGGTGGAAGCCCGTGCCGTGTGTTTCAAGGGATTAAGAAGTGACGTTGGTAAAAGGTTTTAAACTTTCATCTCCCCAACGGATGAAGTCGGAATGGACAGGAGGCTATATCCACACGGATGAGGTCCGAGTGGATGTTATTACAGTTGGGCAATGGATGCCGGGCCATGGATGCTGCCCCCACACGGAGGACGGTCGGAGTGGATGTCATGATGGTTGGAGCATGGATGTTCTCCCCACGGCGATGAGGTCTGAGATGTCTGAGTGGACGTATTGCGGTTGGGCCATGGATGCTCTCCCGAAACTCGAACTTCAGCGAAAAGACAGAGATACATAACATTAAGCATCATGGATCATGCAGCCAAGACGGCACTTCCGGCATAAAACCCGGCAGAGAACGCAAACAAAATCGAATTTTGAACCCGAAAAGTAAAGATGCAACACAACATAGCGCAAGCAAATCAACAAAAAAGGAGAAAGCACAAAGAAAGTAATTAGTGGTTTTGCAAACCCGAGGAAGACGTGCAGTGCAGACCAAAACTGAGAAGCAGAAAAAGCGAGAACAGCGCCAAAGGTGGTGCCGGGGAGGCGTGTCAGCCAGCTGGCAAAAACAACGATGAAGCACAGTATTGCTGCAGGAGTGTGGCAAAGTTGGCGCGAGAACTGCAAGAACGCTAATGCAGGACACAAGCTCACGCAGCTCTAAATCGGATGTGTTTCTTGCAGGCTCGTTTCGGGGCGGCCCGTTTGGGTCCCTAAGCAGGCCTTTCTCTTGGCAGCTAAAGGCTGCAAGCTTCAGCTTCGAAATCTCGAACTCAAAGCAGTCTCGTATGACAAAGAAGTTGCAGCTCACTTGCCTGTGTGCTGGGGCAAGACTTTGTGCGCTCCGTGACAGCAATAGGCTTTGAAGGCAATTCCTTCGGACGGCTCGTAGATCCATGTTGCTCTAGCTACTGGCTCATGCGGGCAGTTGTGCTTGAAGCACACGCGTACCAACACTATCGTCGACATGCCGGATGCAGAAGTACGCTGCCATGTGCATTATTATTACGTACATGCAAAGCAAAGCATAGCGAAGCTTGGTGGGCGCTAGCTGCGTGCTGTTAGGCTGCCAGGCAATTCTGCTGGGTCGTCCCGACTGCTCCTGATGCCAGACGGTTCCTCCAATGACTTGCTCGTACCTTCGACAGATGAGGAGGAGCTCATGGAGTCGCACCGGAGGGCTTCCAGGTGTGTCTGCGCAGTGGGCACTGCGAGTCTCCTTCTGATGGCGTGCTTCTTCGTGCCACAGAGCGCCCTGATGCCTTTCGGTTTCAACTCGGGGCTGATCTCTCTTCAGGATGGAAATAGGAACATCAAAAAGCGTTCAACCCGAAACCCAAAGCCCAAAATGCTAAAACGCTCCTGATGCGGATTTCCACGGCTGACATCCCTCCAGGATGTTCGGATACCGAGCCTGCCTGCGAGCCCCGTGGACGACCTGAAGGATAAGATTTCCAGCTTGCGGCTGAGGCGGCTCTCATTACAAAGTTCTATAAAGGGTTCTAGCCGAGCTTTTGTCAGGGACTAGGGTTTAGGGCGTTTCGTAGGGAGTGGGGTTTGTAGGGGTTTGGGGTTTCGGGATTTAGGGATTTGGGGATTTAGGGTTGATTTGGGATTGAGTTTTTCGGGTCTAAGGTAGTCCAAGGTGGGTCAAGGATGGCCCAGGGTTTCGTTCTTAGGGTAATTGCGTAGGCTTTAGTTTTTGGCTGCAGTGTAGGGTGTAGGTTATGAGGTGGCGGCTCATCAAGGTTCTTTCAATGGGTACCGTAAATTCCATACCCCAAAAGCTTAATCCCAAAGCCCATGACCTTAAGCCCAAAGCCTACAGCCGCACTTCAAACCCGAAACCCTAAGCTCATACTGTCTGACCCCAAACTTGCCCGAATCCTTAACTACCCTTCACCTTAGGTATGGCTTTGATGGCCAGCGGCGGGATGAGATCGCGCTCTGCATCATCAACCTGAACCTGGGCTTCTGGAAGCTGGTGCCTCCGACCCTGAGTTTGAGCAGCTTCAGCTGTAGGCTTGGGGTTTTAGGGTTGAGGAGTGTACTTATCGGGTCAGGATTTTGGGGCTAGCATTTAGGGATTTAGTTTAGGGTCCAGGGCGGAGTGTATGGGGCTTCGGGGCTCATCAGGGCCTTTGATACGAGCTTTGTCGGGTTTCAGATTTCAGAAGCGTGCTAGAACGGTTTACTTGTGAGGCTAGTAAGAACCAGGGATCCGGGTTCTTGGAGCTTCTGGCACCCAAGAACTAGGTGCAGTGGTCCACCATCCTCACAGAAGCGACCAACAACTGTCCGGCAGGCTCGCGATTTATTGAATTTGGGTTGTGCGAGGTTTATTGGCTTTTCAATGATTGTTTTGGATGCTAAAGGGGTTGGGGTTTAGGCTTCGCGGCTTCAGGATTTGGGATTTGGATGTGAGGATTCAGCGCTTGGGCTTTTCATTGTTGGTCGTGGGTTTACAGTCTAGGATTTTGAGCACCAGCAACTCTCCTTCAGGCTTCCATGATCCCGACAAGAAGCTGGCTTGCCAAATCAACATGGCAGCAGTGTTTGCGCCGCTATCTGCGAGCATTGGCCTGTTCTCCAGCACGGCTTTCCTTTGCCCAGGCAAAGCAAGGGCAACAGCAGGTGTACCCGAGGTGTTAAGCATTAAAGTCTAAAGATCACTCCAAACCCTGCCACATCCTTCTGGAAACCCGAAGAACTCTACTGTTAGTACTACTGTAAGTAGGTTTATTACCAGTATTAAAACTACGTTGCTACTATCATCAGTATGATTGCTTGCACAAAATTTTTGGTATTTTTATTACCATCATCATCATCATTGTTGTTATTGTTATTCGTATTACTGTCATTGTTGATGTTTCTAGTATTGTTGTCATTTTTATGTTGTTGTTTCTTCTTGTTGTTGCTATGGGTACTATTGCTTTTTTCGATTTTGTATCAGTGTTCTTGACAGTTTGACTATTTTGAGATCAACTCTGATTATTTTCACCGTATTGTTATCAGTATTCTTCGTATTGTTGTAGTATAGAACCCCCAAAGAACCCCTGCAAGCTCCCAGATGAGACCTCAGGGAGCTTCGGAGAACTTTGAGAACCCAAGAAAGTCTAAGAATAAGTACGACATAGCAAAAACAGCTATAATTACCATGATAGTAACACTAGTTGCAAAAACATTTTTATTTCTTAAAGTATTGTAGTAATAGTAATAATCTCAATTATATCAATAAGAATTATAATAATATTGGCAATAGTCATAGAGTTATAGTAGTACTTCACGAATATCGATGGCAATAGAATTAACAGTAATCATAGCACGAATACTAACTATCCTCGCACGCCTTGCCTGAAGAAGCCAAGGTAACGGTGTGAGCACTAGACCTAAACTTTAAACCCCAAGCCCTAAACCCTCAACCTCAAGCCCAAACTCTATACCCGAACGATCCATCTGAAGCCCTTCTCTGAAGCTTTCAGGCAAGATGAACCCGGATGCCGCCTGTGCTTCTGTTTTCGGTGCCACCTTCGAGGCCCTTCCGGGAGAGGTTTGGGGTGTCGGGTTTTCGATGCAGGGAAAGTAGGGATCCCTAAGTTTTTGATGCTTAAGGTTTATAGGGAGTCGGAAGGTTGGTTTTAAAGTTCAGGTTGCAAAGGTGTCGGTTTTCGGTAACAAGGTTTACGGATTATGGATAGGGAGGTGGGCTTCGGGTTTACAGGCTTGAGGACATTTTGCGGACTCAGCGTGGGGTGTAAGGTTCGCGGGCTTGGAGACAACAGTTGTTGCGTTTTTGCGGGTTTGAAGTTTCGGATGAATCAAAACCCGCTTGCTGCCCCCAGAGGCCGCTGCGAAATTCGCCGCCTCGCCTGCCCAGATCTCGCTTTTCTGCCCCAAGGCGACACGGGGTCCGTTGTTGGTTTAGGGTTTAGGGGCGGAGGGCTTGTGCTGGAGATGCCCCAAAGACTTGCATGATGCAATGGAGCACTCGGCAGCAGCCCGAAGCCCTCGTGCCAAAGTCCTAACCTACTGAACCCCAAATTCCCAAATCCTACCCAGCGAGACCCCGAACCACCATTTTACGAGCATCAAGCATGCCTACTACTACGTCCCGAGGCCGTGGCCCAGCGAGACTTCGTGGAGGGTCACCAGACGGTGTTTCAGAACGAGACTGGGCTCTGGTCCTGCAGTGCTCTTTTCGGAGTTATGTGTTGGGGTTTTGGGGTTTAGGCTTTAGGGTATGTTTATTGTAACAAGACCCCAAGGGAGCCTTAAAAACTATTTTTTGATTTTGGTTCTACGGGTGACTGAAGGGTAAAGAAACCTATTGTTGTTCAGTTGCCAACAGGAAAGGGCTTAAAAAGGTTTGACACGGGCGTCACTAGGGCCAGTTTAAGGCACTACAGTGGACGGATGAATACATACATACATTCATACATACGTACATACATACATCGCTGTTGCTTTCATTGTCGAAGGCACTGATTTCGGGTTGGAGGCAGTCTCGGAGCTCGGGCCCGCAGCCCTCAGGCGAAGAGCCAAGGAGATTTACCCGACCGACCCAAGGATCGAACAAAAGCCCGTCTTCAGGACCCGCAACTTCTAAGCATCACGACAAAGTCGCAACCATAAATGCAGTTTGCCCTCACCCACGGGTTGCAACGATTCATCATGCAAAACGCTTGATTCGCGAACAAAGCGAAGGACAAGGCTCCGCTACTGGCAGGAAGCGTTCAGGAACTGCTTGAAAAAGTAGTGCAGACGACAGGTCGCTGAAGTGCCTTCCGAAATGTAGGCCACTCATCAAGGAGGCTCCATGCCCTGCAGGTCCGAATGCAGACGGGGTGAACTTGCCCCGATCAAGCACGACGCTGGTATCATCCGTCATGAAGGTTTTGCAGACTTCCTTCCTATGGCTATGGGCATTCTCGTTCTTATGAACCTCCACATCATTTTCGACCCTAGGGATGCTCTCGTTCATGCTATGTACATGTGTATATATATATATATATGTATATTCGCATATGTGTATGTAAAGTGAAACATTGGCTTTTCTTCTGGTGGTGACTTAACTAATAAAATACTTACAAAGCCCGATGAAACTGGCAACGTCCTTTAGGACTCCGAAGAAAGGCCTACGGAAGGCCTTCGAGAGACTTTGTCAAACCTTTTAACTCTAGAACCCCACACCCCAAACCCTCTAGAACCCTAAACCCCAAACCCTCTAGAACCAAAAACCCCAAACCCTCTAGAACCCTAAACCCCAAACCCTCTAGCACCCTCAACCCTCAACGCAGAAGCACCACAGGAGAGGCGCTTGGGTAACAGCTCCCGTGGTCCGCCGACGGAGGCCGAGGCTCGGAAACTTTACGTGGTCCTTCGGAATGCGACGGAGCCAGATTCAACGAAGCTTGGGCCACGGTTTAGGGTTTAGGGGGGGTTTTTGTATTTCGGAAGAGGAGTTTTAGCGATTTTATAACGAATCCCAGGAAGCTGAAGAACACTTTCTGTGCGTGGCAGATTGCCCAGAGCGTTCTTTTTGCGATGCGGGCCGGCCCCCTCATCGAGATCTCCACGAAGCTCTGCCCGCCTCCGAGGGGTGGAGAGGCGGCCTGTTCCCAGATAATCAATGAAATCATGCTCATGTTCCTCCCCGGAACTTAGAAATTTGTCTTGATATTTGGTCGCCATAAGCCGTAAGAAGGATCTCAAATGGAGTTCAGTATCAGTCTAGGTTCTGGAACGTCGGCAAGTTCATTGCTGCAGCTGCAACGAACTGCATCAGCGGGCTGAATGTGGCGGCCGGGTGTGCCCTTGGCAGCCTCAACCTCGTCTCTGCCTTCTCTGCCACGGGCAGCGTGACATCTGCTCTTGTGACTTTGTCATAGTTGAGTAACATGTTCCATGTATGGCAACTTTATGGGTGCTTATATAATCCCAAGAAGGAATAGACATCTAGATCTTTAAGAGAAATTATCACAACCCATAGACACCAGGTGATGGGCGTCTGCACCGACCTTCAAGGCCGCAAGAGGAATATCACCGAGCAGCGGATCAACCGAAACTGGGTTGAATCCTGCTGTAGGGACCTTAATAATTTGAATAGCGTTTTGGGGTATATTAGTATATTTTGCTATAGTCATAATAAGGAACTGAGTCAGTTCAAGCTGGGTACCTTTTAAAGGAAGTTGGTTAGTTCAAGTTTCACGAGGAAGATCTTGTGTTTGTTAACCGCTGAAGCGAATTCGAGTATGACTTCAAGTTGCAGTGCGAGAGCTGTTATTTAGCTTTCTGCCTCTACACCCAAAGCAGCAACTTTCAACCCCAAACCCTAAATCCTAGTAACTCACAGTGACTTCCGTAAAAAGCTACGTTGCAACACGCAAGGAAAGATCCAGAAGATCAAGCTCCTCCAAAGCATCTCCTTGCGGCGCCTGCCACTTAAGGGTACTTGAAAATGATTTCGAATTTTTTGGTGACGATAATCCCTAAGAAACAGCTAAACTATAATTTCTGGTTACTATATTCAAACTATATTCCCCAAAAAGCAGCCGGCAAAATACAGCCTTTGCGCCAGGGCCCCAAGTCCAGTACAGTCTAGTCTCCATTGTAGTCCTTTTTTGATTTCCCAGTTTTAATGTTGTATGACCTTGAACTTGTTTTTTTTGCAAGCCACCCTTTACCCTAAACCCTAAACCTCTAAACCCTGAAGCCTAAACTATAAACCCTTCAGTCTAGGCTGCGGGAGAAGAAGCTGACCGGCTCGGCGGCCCAGGAAGCCGAAGCCTTGGTAGCCCTGCGCGACCCGGGCAGCAACGCCACGATGCCGGAGCTTTGGGTTTAGGGCTTTTAGGGTTGAGGGTTTAGGGTTTGAGGGTTCGGGGTTTGGGGTCTGGGGGTTTAGAGCTTTTATGGTTGAGGGTTTGGGGTTTGAGGGTTCGGGGTTTGGGGTCTGGTGGTTTAGGGCTTTTAGGGTTGAGGGTTTGGGGTTTGAGGGTTCGGGGTTTAAGGGTGGAGGATTTGGGGTTGAGGGTTGAGTGTTTGGGGTTCTGAAAAAACCTCAAGCCCAGAACAGAAGCCCTTTCAGCTTCCGCCCCAAACCCTCGACCATAAACAGGAAACGCCCAACTTGAGGGGGCGTTGCACGGAGCAACCGTCTCAGCTATGTGGCGCATTGTCGCAGCATCACCGCGAACCGTCAATCCCGAACTCAAACCCCTCAACCCTCAACTCCTAAGCCTTAAGTCCCCAAGGCGCAAGCCCTAAACTCCAAGCTCAAAATCCTGAAGGAGCTGCTAAAGTCCATCGGCTTGCACGCTGAGCATGCGAAGCATCCGCGCGAGTTGGTCCTTTCGCATCTCCGAAGCCTGAAGCCAAGCCGCCTCTCGGATTTGCTTTTCTGGCTCATATCCAAGATCGTGTTTTAAGGGGTGTAAGGTTTAGTTTTTAAGGTTTAGGGTTTTGGGTTTTATCTCAAGGGTCCAATCTCTCAAACAATGGAAAGTTAGGTACCCAAGCTATTCAGAGCACAGAAATTGGTGCCGACCGATCCTCCCCCCTGCTACTTGGATCCTTGCACCCTGTAGGGTAAGGCATGGATACCCCGAGAAAGAACAATAACTATGTCTATGATGTCTATGTAGCAGTGTCTTGAAATGGTCACAGGGTCTTAAAATGGTCGCAAAACCACAAAGCCATAAACCCGAGACCCAAAGCCCCAAAGCCCAAAGAAGGCTTGGAGGAGTCTGAGATGCGGGAGATGTTCGCAACGGCCCGTGCCCTGATCGCCAAGCACGACTCGTCCTGGCCTGTGTCCGCTTTCCATGGCTCATAACATAGATCTATGCTGCACAAGTCGGGAAAATGATAGGGATCCTACTATGTGGATACTTAGAGAAAGGGGCTGTGCAACATGTTTGGGCAGCTGTGTCTCTTATCAGTCATTCGTTTATGTGTCTCGTCATGTCATGGTGGCTTAATAAGGTGCTTGCTCGTATCCTGCGACTGCTGTATCATGGACTCCACGTGTCTGTTCTGTCCTGACATCTGAAAACGTACTCGTGGAAAGCGGGAGCTATTCTTTGGGGTTGAAAAACGAATTCGGGAATTCATAAGGCCTCCAAGCGCTGGAGGCTGATGCAGCACGTGCCGCGAAGGGGGGTTTGGGCTCTCTTTTTGGTCTTGAACCCACCTTGCCCAGGGCCAAAGAAACTTCAGAATACCAGCGGGCTCGTGCAATTCAACCGTATAGTGCATGCAATGTTGGCAACAATGTGCCAGAGGGGTGATTTCCGTCTGACTGTGCTCTCTCTGTTTTATGGATCACAGCAGTTGTCAGAGCGTCGAAGTGGTTTTTCCAAGGTACCACTGACTGGACGCCGTTCTTAGTAGCAGGTTTGTCTTTTGGCTTCCGTGACGGTTGCGGCTTTCCTTGCACATCCATGCAACTCAATTGTGGTGCATGAACACGGGCACAGCACGCACTACGTGTGCCAGGTGCCTTGTCTCTGACATTCTGAACCAAAGGTGCCCCCGGCGCGCGTGGAAGCCGACACATGCTTGCCGAAACAAGTGCAGCTGCAAGGAATTGCTGCTGTCTCCAATGCTCGGATGACGGAAGTGGCACTGCAACTCTAAACGCTTAGACCCCACATGCAAGAGCACAATATAGGCGTCGCAAGAATTGGTGCCCTAAGCCCTAAAGCAGTGGATGTCGTTCTGACATCAAGTGGCAGATTAGAAAGGAGCTTAAAACAAGAAGGCAACCCTAAACCCTTAAACCCTAACCCGAACCCTGAAATCCCAACCCTTAAACCCCTAAACCCTACACCCTAAACCCTAACCCTTAAACCCTTAACCCTGAACACAGCAGTCCTTTCCTTGAAGCCGATGGCCCGAATGCCTCAGTTCGTTGAGGTGCTCGGCCGTGAAGCGCTTGGGGTCTTGGGGTTGGTAGGGTTTTGGAGTTTAGGGATTATTGGGTGTAGGGTTCAGGGATTATAGGGTGTCGGTTTAGGGGTTTGTAGGGTTTTGAAGTTCAGGGATGATAGGGTGTAGGGTACAGGGGTACAGGGACTGTTGGGTGCAGGGTTTAGGGATTATGAGGTGTAGGGTTTAGAGTCGAGGGTTTAGGGTTTAAGGATTATACGGTGTAGGGTCTAGGGTCTGGGGGTTGAGGCTTTGGGGTTTAGGGTTCGCTCTTCGTTCGGCTCTGCAGGTTCCCACTTTTTGAGCTGTTGTGTGGGTTTAGGGTTTCGGGTCTAGGAGGGGTTAGGGTTTAGGGTTTAGGGTTTAGGGGGGTGAGTTGAGGGTTTAGGGTTTCCGACTTTGTTTCACGGTTTTTGTTGACATAAACCCCACACTCTCAATCCTTAGCCCCAAACTCGCTGCTCGCTTGTTGAACATTCTTCGACACTTTCACTGCGTCCTTCTGGGAGAGAGATCTTCAGAACAAAGCTTGGGTGTGAACGGTAAAGCCATTGAGTCCTGTCCGGTGCCCCTGAGGCGTGGTCAGTCTATGTTACTGCATCAGTTCCGCTGATGGCACTGCGGACGTGCTGAGGCAGTCGCTGATGAGAGATTTCCGTCGGAAGCCTGCTACCATAATGGGATCTATAGTGGGTAGGATGGTTTCCGATGGTTTCCTTATCATGGTAACTTAAATTATTGTAAATCCCTTAACAAAAACCCCGTAGTTTTGCAGGGATTCGCAGTCCTCCCCCCGAAAGGTTCAAGATGACAGAGCGGTGATACCTCAGCAAACTCCTGCGCGTATCCGTATCCTGAAGGATGCCCCCTTCCTGTTATACAGGCGGTAACCCTGGGTTAAGGGTTCTAGGGTTTTGATTTTCTAAGGGGTTGGGTATGCGATGGTATGCAAAGCGGGGTTGGGGTTCAAGGATTCGGAAATCGGGCTTGTGCGTAGTTCCCGAAACGGGACCCGATTCAGAGAACCTTTCCTTGGTTCAGGGTTGGAGTCCCCTTCAGCTGTCTCCTGAAACCTGGAAGCCGAAGCAAGATCTGTCGGAAACGTAGCTCATTAATAGTCCGGCAGCAGTCTCGCTGCTCGTTCCCGGAGGGCTGAGCGGCCAACGCCAACTGCGACATGTCAGCATTGCGTGACCACAGAGATATGGCTGTTGCGCCCTTCTCAACGACGACACAGTGAAGTGTTGGGGGCGAGTACATGGCCAGGAGCACGATGGATGGGGGACTATCTTCCTGCTGTGCAGTTTGGCACCAAACCTACAACCACGACCACTGCTTCCACAAGCTCTACCATGACCAGGACCACGTCGACATCATCTACAGCTACCAGAACCACGTCAACATCATCCACCAGAACGTCTACGACGACAACTGCAACGACCTCATCTACAAGAACTTCTAGCACAACTGGAACCAACACAACAACTTCGACCACCCTTTCGTCCAGCAGCTCGACCAGCAGCTCCACCAGCAGCAGCACTGGCAGCAGTAGTACCAGCCGCAGCAGCACCAGCAGCGCCAGTACCAGCACCAGTAGTACCAGCAGCAGCAGTACCAGCCGCAGTAGCACCAGCAGCAGCAGTACCAGCAGCAGTGGTACAAGCAGCAGCAGTATTACCAGCAGCAGCATCAGCACTAGCAGCACCAGCAGCAGTACTACTAGCAGCAGCAGCACTTCAGGCGGGCGTTATTAAATGCTCATGTGATTGAACTGGCCCAAAGCCCATGCTTGAAGCCATCAATGCGCCGGGACGAAAGGCACGCTTAAATCCACCAGTCATACGGCCACCTCAACAGCCGGCTCCTTAAGAAGCGATGCCCCGCTTGGTCTGCTTGAGACTTCCACTGACATGCAGGTCTTATCGTAAATTCTTGAGCTCATGTCATTGCAACAGAACCGCTGACACATGCAAAGCCAAAATATATGGTCAGGCGTCTGGCGTTCCCAGCCCCCCCCCCCCCCCCCCCAATGGTATGGTCTGATAGGGTGGGGGGGGGGGGGGCCCTGGCGTGCGCGGAAATGGTTGGGGGCCGTTGGAGCTGCCACCGGATGGTGGGGTGGTGCTGGCGGCCAGGGCTCACGCGCAAGCCCTTCGCAAGCAAGCTGTAGACCCTTTAACGCAGCGCGTGCCCCTGTTTTGAGCAACCTTAACTTGTACTTAAAACGCTACACCCAACCCTAAACCCCACCTAACTGCAGGCTTTAAGCCTAAAGCAGAGCGTACACCGCAAATCCGCCCTAAGCCCTTGTCGACTCGAAGCCTTATACCTTGTAACCGTAAACCCAAAACTCAAAAGCTTAAGCCAAACCCTAAACCCCAAAACCCCACAAACACCCCACAGGGGGAAGAGGAACCCCACACCCCACACCACAGGGGGGGGGGGGCCCCACCCTATATCCGGACCATTGACCTTTGGGGGGGGAGGGGGGGGGGGGGGCTGCGGAGCGCGTGACCATATATCTGTCACCAGGTTTCTCGCCGACAGTGCATACTCTCAGCCGTTCCGGGTAGAAGCAGAGCAGCTGAAGCAACGCTGAACCTGGGCAGAAGTCCACGTTCGCTTGGTGTGGTGTGAGCTGAGATGTTGGCAGTGCGCATGGGCCCTGTGTGAGGCTTGCAAGCTACGATATGCCCTTGCACGTGGAGCCAGCATCCCCTCTCGGTTCGCTAGCAAGAGACTTTTGGCGGATTTAATGCTACCCAGGCCGCGCGCTACTTGCTACCGTGCTCTCTGAGGACTCGCTGCGGGAAGCGGTGAAAGCGGTGGTTCATGGAGCGTCGTCCTGGAACGCAAACACGACCACCGGCAATGCATCTCGACAGACGTTCCTCCATTTACCTGTTTTCGTTTCGTGACTGTCCTTTCAGGCCGTCAGGGCGTTTAGAAGTGGAAAAGAAAGCATGTTAGGGTCGGATTCGCTTCCCTTGCGTCTCCCGACAGAAGCAAGCCGAGGTGTGGCTGACCAAGCTGGGTCAGGGGCGGATGCAGGCACCTGGCCCGAGCTCTCCAGGATGTCACGGTTTCTCGATTCGGCGGGAACTTACGACTTTGCTCTGGTTAGGTTCTGACCTCGGATGGCCCCGGCAGCATCTCTGCGCCCATCGCTGTGCCTTGCCTCAGTACATTCTAATTCCAGGAAGCCCCTATAGCTCATGGCAAGGTACGAGCATCCTGCAGCCTTCTGCAAAAGGGGGAAAACTCGCATAGTCGAGCAACCCAAGACCAGGTCAATACTCAGCTGGATCTGAGACAGGTTCTGCTCGGCTTACAATCTCAACACTGGCCCAGTTGTTGCGGCTGGCTTTAACCGGTGATGAGGTACGTTCAGGCAAGAGGCAGCAAGACCAAGAGCATCAAGAGCGTAGTTCCACAGCTTGAGCCAGAAAGGTCTGCACATTCTCTGGTCAACCTCAGAATGCTAAACAGCAGCTGAAGTTCCGCTGCGAAGGTGTCTGTTCCACCTGCCCTGGCGCCTTGGAAAAAATCAAGTTAAGAAGCGGTGGCTCGGTTGGCGAAGTGAGGCCTGTCCGAGGTACTTCGCATGGCCACACCTTGTGTTGAACAGAGCGTTGAGGTGTCAGAACTGTCCGTGAACACGTCGGTTTGGCTACTCATCACGATGATCGATAGCAGCGTCGTCGATCACATGTCGAGCCTCTCTGCGAACGGGCCTGTGCGGCGCTGAGCCGGGTCTGGGGCATTCGCTTGACAGGTTCGAGTAGCACAGTCCTCATGCGCCTGTGATGCAGGTCACCTACAGGTCCCCTTTGGCTGAGGTCTCGCTTCTGCAGGAGACAGAACGTTGAACTCGGGAAGTGGACATCTGCGGTCTTGTTTAAGGGCATAGTCATAGTTTAAGTTATAAAAGCAAGGCAACCCTACTACGTGCTATAGATCCCCATTATGCTAACTTGCAATAAATCCGTGAACCAAGAACTCAGACATGTGCTGAAACTGCAGTCTGGTTCGAGCTCGAGGCCGTCAGTGTTCATCGAAACAAGACGGCAAGCGGAATGATTGAACGGAATAATGTGAGTAACCAACCCTAAACCGTAACGCTAAACCCTAAACCCGGACGAATGCAACATGCTGGGATCAGAAAGACTTGGCAAGATGCCCTCGGCCTTGTGCGCATCCTGAGGCTAAGCCGTTGATATCTGAGGCTTAGGTCTCGTGTGTCAAGCCACCAGGCCTTAATCAGGTTCTTGCTTAGAAACCAGCGGGAATCACTCCTACGGATGACTTGGGCAGCAAAATCATGCAGGGCATGCAGTTATAGGGCTTCCAAACCATGCCATACTTTTGACAACTACAAGTCCTTTTCGATGGCTTTGGATTTGAGGGATCAAGTCCTTTTTTGCGAAAGGTTTGCTTCTCCTGTTCCCTTGTCTTGGAGGAAACGCAAGGGGCCGTTTCTGTTGCACAGATCGCGAACCTTGTGGATCCAATTGCTATACGACCCTTGGATGCACAGAGTGCAGCAAGTGCAGCAATACGGGTCAGCATGAGATATTTAGTGCTCGCCTTTTGCAAGCTTCTTGAAAGCCACACGCTTTTTCAGATGTCGGACGTGACCTGGCTATGATCCCGTGGGGATCCCGAACACGAAAGGGTTTTCCGAGGACGCAAGGATGACATGCAGCTGGATGACCGAGACCGCTGCTGTTGGTTTGATCCTGCTGCTTTGCGTTGATATGGGCCGGTCCGTGCGCTGCATGAGACTGCAGAAGTTCGGTTCTGGTTGAAGTGTAGATAGTGCGTCATCGAGGTGGGCAAGGTGTGGTCTTATGCCGGGACGGAGATTCCTACCGTTTGACAACTTAGAGCGCTGGAGGTCTCGTCCCATCCCTACAGGCAGACATTGGTCGAACACATGGGCCATGCCGGATTTTTCATGATAGTATCCGCTTCAGAAACATCCAAAACACGGGATCCTGCTTGCAAAGATATCCTGCGTCTATATTTTGCATAATTGAGCCCGTGACTCAATCCTGATGACAAATTAATCGGGCTTGGCACATTCCTGCTCGGCAAGGCCCGTTGATGGAAACTGGTGCCTCACGTCACACCTCACAGTCTTTGCGATTGCGACGACCTTATCTGCAAGTGCCTGTTCAGTTCGTCTGCTGCAGATCCTGGATCATGAAGGAGGCGCCTTGATGGAAACTTGGCCCACTCAGGCAACACTACCGGCCACACCCCTTCCTGCCGATTCGACACTGCTGGTTGCTTCCGTCTCGTGTTTCGGCCAGGATTAGCAGGATCGGGCAAGTCTTGACGTGCACCTTTCACAAGGTATTGCTGAAGTTGCAGTACTTGACGAATCCTCTCATGTAGTAATGAGCTGGATTCTCAAACAGGTTTTCAAGGCGGCTTAGTCCAAGATCCGTTTTGGGTGCGCATCTGCTTCTGCCGCTCTTGTATGCGTTTGCCTCTTTTCCTCTCGTTTTTGCTTTTATCACTCGGATTTCAGGTGATCTCGGGCTACTTGTATGGGAGGGTTGAGCTAAGGGCTTGTGCTAAGTGATTTCAAAGTGCCGCGACCTGAAGGGACCTGAGGGGACTATAGAGGACCATAGGGGAACTGGGGACATCAAGCAGACGAAAGAAGACGAGGAAGAACAGCAACACAGTAAAGCAGAAACAACACCGACCTTTTTTTTGAGCACCCTTGTGGCACCTAGAGGGCCTTGGAGCTGTCGCTTGACAACTGAAGCCACGCCAGGATCTTGGCGTTTGTGATCGTGTCAGCCTGCGCGGGCTTGCTGTACTACCGCGCTTACACAGCCAGGGCCTCGGAGGAGTCGCGAAGTGCCGAGCCGGGATCCAGATTCTGAGAGACTCACAGAGACTATCAGATTCTGTCAACTCTCATAGACTCTCAAAGCTAAGGCGCGGAAACTCAAAAAGGCGAAGGATACGCAGCACCAACGGCACCAAGACTTCGAGAAGTGGTATCCGTTCCACCGACACACAGTCTTCAGCATCATGCAAACCGCATTGGATGATGGCGCACAAGGACGAAACGAAACGACGAAGCGAAACGAGACGGCTTTAGGGTTTAACCAGATTGACGAGATCCCTTGAGCTCTTGGTTTGGGTTGGCGCGCCTTGTACCGGTGACTTTAAACACACAGTCATGTACCGCCGAACCGTTTAGGTTCCTGGCTGGCTCCTCTTTGTGGCTCCTTGGCATACTTGCGAACTTAACCCGAAAGTAGTTGGATTAGGATTTAGGGTTTAGAGGGTCTGACTTGGTTATGGTTGTGAGATTAGGATGTTGAGAGTGCGAGTACGAAGCTGGCATTCTTAATCAGGTTCCTGCATTCTTCAGAAGTCACAGACTCGACCCTTTGCGTTGAATCACGTTCAGCATTCCTCGTGCAGGCGCCTCCTGCATTGGAAGTTCAAGCAAGCAGGCATTTGTTCTCTCAATGCACTCAGGTGCTAGATTGTGACTGTCCAGCTGGCTGCCGCCCACGACCTTGTTTCTTTCGTCTTCGACGTCTCCGTAGGAACCTGCGCAGCCAAAACAAGCAGGAATGCAGCATGCTTTGGCTGTGAGCTCGTGGCGCACCCTCTGGCGGCATGGAGCTTTAGAACTTTAGATGCGCATCGGGGAGCCTAGTGGCCTAGTTCGCGTTCTGCAAATCTCATATCGTTGACAGTTGGAAGCCGCGGGTGTTGGGGTTTAGGGTTCCAGGATTTGGGGTTTCCGGCTGCAGGAGCTTGCGGGGATTTTCAAGCGGCCTAGGGGTTTGATGGCTTTAGTTTTTATTAGTGCTTGAGGACTTCATGGCTTCATGACTGTAGGGAGCAGGGCCTTGCAGGGCGTATGGAAGTTTAGGGTCTAGGTTCGGGGGTTCAGGGTTAGGGGATTAAGCTTTTCGGTTTAGGAGTTCCTAGTTGGTAGCCATATCCGCTGATAGTCCGTTTAGGATTGTTGTAGTGATGTCTAATGCTCCTGCAAAATCTGATTCCAATTATTCAGACCCCTGAACCGTTCTTTGCTCCCTGTACTTGCTAGGTTGACCCGAAAGTATTTTTTATGGTTCAAGGTTTAAGGGGTTCTGACTTGTCTAGGGTTGTTAGATAAGGGAACATGGACCGACTGAGACAAACGTCTCAGCGAGCAAGAATTATCTTCCAAATTCCTGCTCCTGTTTAGACCAAGACACGTTCCGGTTGGATGAACCGATATTGTGGCATAGGGAGAACCCTTATGCACAACAACTTCCATATGTACCGTGTCGTCAGGGACACGTAGCAGGGTGCAGCATACTTCCTAAACCCTGAACCATAACCCTCCAAGAAGCCTCATATGGATTCAATCTGAAGCCGGGATTCTTCATAAGGTTCCTGCATTATTCATAAACTACAGAGTTGTGACCCTTTGAATGGAAACGTGTCCAGCATTCCTTGGTACTCCGTAGGGATTCGAGTTACCGACATTTCAACAGCCCACTTGGGTCCTTTTGAACTCCTTTTTGGCCCAAGTGCGCAGCAGCAGCAGCAGCAGCAGCAGCAGCAGCAGCAGCAGCAGCAGCAGCCAGCAGCAGCAGCAGCAGCAGCGTGTCCACAGATGCTCACCGCGGCATCTCGATGGTTCGTTCTCGAACTGCTTGCAGTCACGTGGGCTGCTGACAGCACCTTCCACCAAGTAGGGCAGAGCAGCTCAGACGCGTTGCAATCCATCAAGGCCGGGTTTTGGTGGTCTTCAGTCTCTGCTGATTGAGGTTTGACACCAGCGTTGGGAGGGTTGCATCGGAACCTTCCCACAATATGCCAGTATGCCTCGGTACCTGAAATCTGGTTTGGAGTACTGTACTGTACAGCCACGATTGTGGCAGCGTAGACATGTGCGACCAATGTGTCGTCATTGCGTCAGGTGGGTTCCAACGGCAACTATTACCTGTGCGGATACACGAGGAGCAGTTGGCCAGGCTTCACCGCAACAGGATCGATAGCTCCCCAGCCAAAACATGTTGATTGTTTCACCTATTCAGTTCGGCTCGCTCGTGTGTCGTGTCTTTCAGACTTGATACGCTCCGACTTTGAAACCAAGGACTACCTTTTCGCGGTTCTTGACAGCTCTGGCACGCTCGTAGCCCACGAACAGATCGGAGGCGATGCGGGTTCGAAAAGGAAGTTGTAGTGTCCACAATGTCCACCGTGAAGTCGTCGGTGCAAAACTCTTGTCTTGCTGGCGGACGCGTCGACCAGTGATGCCCGGGATCCCCAAACCCTATACACCCTACATCCTAAACCCTTGGCCCTAAATCCTAAACCCAAATGTTCAGGTGGCGCTTGCGTAGCCTTGGCCACAGATTCGAGCCCTCGCTGCTCTTTGCTGGGTTTAACATATATTAGAAGGCATATAGGGACGTAAATAGTTACCGATAATCTTGGGGTTCCTTATGATAACTATGGTATAACATACCCCAAAACCCTATTGACATCATGGAGGCCCCTATGATATGACTCAGGGCTGACAAAGTGTTTGGCTTCAGGGCTTGGGCCGGTCGCTTGATTGGGCCTGAATCCACTTTTTCTGACCATCTTGGGGAAGCCATGCTTTCCAGCATCACCGTCACACCTGAGCTCTGCTCTGGAGTATTTCGTCTAGTTATTGGTCTAGTTTGGCTGAACTTTATAGCACACTTTCTTCATTTTGTGTGCGTCTATGTCTTCAAAGACTGGAGCAAAAGAGATTTGTTGTGACCAGGTGGTACAAATGGGCGAGGAAGTCCTTCGAAGAAATTCTCTCGAAAGGCACTGCAGTTTTCTAGGTCCTTCGTCTTCTCCAATGATTGGTCTGTGTCATGCCTCAATGTTGTGAATACCTTCCCAGCTTTACAACCTATGTGCTCCCTTCTGTTCTTAGGTAGGCTGTGGGCACCATGGGCCGCCGACATTGTCGCTGCAGCTAACTGCTTTTGCTGGATGTCGCCGTGCCCACAAAAACCATCGCTTGCTCGCCTTAGTGAAACAGCGCGGTTTGGTTTGTCGTGAACGATTCGCGCGCTTGTTCGCGAAGGTTAGCCACCCTCCGAACTGCATCTTTTGGCGCCAAGCCGCTTACACTCAGGATCAGACGTTGCATTTTCAACCACCCGGCCAATTCCTTTGTGGGTCAGGCTTCAGTTCCATTGCTTTTACCGGCTGCGCCCACTCTGTTGGCTTTGTTCGCTCTATCTTTGGTTAAGCATCTTTGGCTGCAGTGTCCGGATGCGAGCTACGCATAGCTTAGGCTTAGCTTTCCAGCAGCATCGCCATCCGGGCACTGAAAAAAACACCCTTCGCGATGTTGTGAACCGAGGACTGACAACGTCTACACTGTCGGCTACGAAGGAAATGATGGCATGCTGGTGCTGTGCTCAGCCGTTCTGTTTCGCGGACTGTTAATGATATATATGAGTGAACATACCGACACGTTCCTTGTCTTAGGGCTAAACAGCTTTGAGGCAGTGCAAGAGGACACATGCACAGTTGTATCCTGAAGCGCGCTTGGGCCCGAGTAAAGGAGTTATTGCAAGTTTGGTAGCGGAGCCGGTGAACGGCTCAGCATAAATCCAAGCGCCATAGGCTGCCGGAGGACGAAAGTCCTCGCATCGCCTTTCTGCGACGCTCCCTTCGACACTCACGGCAGCTTTCCTTCAACAATCTTTCTTGGTGTTTCAACAATCTTTCTTGGTGTGCGGGTTGCTTCAGTTGACGACGGGCATCCTTGTGCCCAGCACCCACACCACCTTCGAGGAGCTGAGTGGCATCCAGGGAAAGTTTCACTTCACTTTTGAGAATTTGAGTTACAAGGTTTTCCTGGCTGAGAGCTCAGAGATCAATTCGAACACGCGGCCGGCCATCCTCGCGGATTACCCTGCTCCCGCCTTCTTCTACGACTTGAACAATAGCAGTGAGCTGCAAGGGAAACGCGTGAGACACCCCGGGCAGAGCAGACTGCCTCCAGCCGAGAAATATCGGTTTTTCTCCAAGGTCGGTGGCTTCTTGAGAACCCTCTGCGACCTCTTTTCTTCCTTCTTCGAC